ACTGACAAACCTCAGAGTAGGGGGGCGGGAGGGATGGAGGAGATGAACCAAAGAACTTATATGCATGGATGCATAACCAATGGACATAGACAACAATGCTGGGGGAGGGGCAGGATGGGGAGGAGGGGACTAGGGGAGAAAAAGGAGAAACATCTGTAACAAAAATAAATTAATAAAAATTGAAGAAAAGAAATGGTAAAAAATAAAAATAAAAAATAAAATTAGGCACATTTTGTTCTTTCTGACCAGACTTTGAAAGGACAAACTTATAATAATACTTTAAGAAAATATATTCTTACAGCTTTGAGTCAATGGAAGCTAAATAGTTTCTCAAAACAAATGCTCTACTTTTAGTCATTTTTCAACTGCTGAAGAATTTTTAAAATCTGCACAAGTTATGACTCCCCAGCAAAGTTCCTTCTACATAACATGTTAGTGAAACATTTTTTCTGAATTATATTTGTCGTGTACCAGTTAATGATAGTATGAAATATCCATATCTTGTATATCATATCTTTGGACATACAGAAACAAATAGAAGTTTCTTAAATTCCACAGCCTAATAGATAAATGATGAATTTAACTATGCTTCTCTTTTACTTTGTTGCCATGATTTTTTAGTCTATCACAGCAAACTCAGAAATATTTATAAATTGGAAAATAAAGGTGCCGAATAATTGTCATTGGCAAAGGGCAAACATGGCTAAGGCTATGAATGATTTAGGAATAACATATGTATGTTTCATTATGACCTTCAGTTCTGTATTTAGAAAGTAATTTCAGCGCAGTATAAGGTAAACATTTTTTAACCAAAACCAAATTCCATTTCATACAAGATATTTTAAGCTTCAGCACAGACAGCCTTGATACCAGAATTCACAGAAAATAATAGTGACCTAGGAAGACATGCAAGCAGCAAATGATGTATCCGCTTGAACCTGCTGAGAACGGAACATGCTGATGTGCCTTGAGAGGAAAAGTCACTGTGACACGACCCACTGAACAATGAATACTCGCATCCTGTAATGTGGGAGCTGAAATGCAGAGATGATTGATGTCATCTTAACATCCAGTTATATTACTGCATTGCTACATTTTTAGATTCAGTCTTTAAGAGGAAAAATCTTGCCCTGGCCAGTGTGGCTCAGTTGGTTGGAGTGTTGTCCTGCACACCAAAAGGCTGTGGGTTCAATTCCCAGTCAGAGCATATACCTAGCTGGCTGGTTCAATCCCTGGTTGGGTGCATACGGGAAGGCAACCAATCACTGTTTCTGTCTCACACTGATGTTTCTCTCTCTCTCCCTCTCCCTCTCTAAAATCAATAAGCATGTCCTCAAGTGAGGGTTATTTTTTTAAAAAGAGGAAAAATCTTTAGGAGAATGCAAATTAAATTAAAACCACAATGAGACAGCATTTCACACCCACTAGAATGGTTAAAATATGTTTTAAAAGATGAGAAACAAGTGTTCGTGAGGCTACGAAGAAGCTGGAGCCCTCACACGTTGCTGGTGGAATGGAAAGTGCTGGAGCCAGGAAAACCGTCTGGCGGTTCCTCAGAAGATTCAACGTAGAGTTACCGCAAGGCCCAGCAATTCCACTGCTGGGTACACACCCAAGAGAACTGAAAGGTATGTCCGCACAAAAAATCTTGTACGTGAATGTGTATAGCAGCAATATTCACAACAGCAAAAGTGAAAATAACTCAAATATTTATAAATTGATAAATGGATAAACAAAATGTGCCCTCTTGAGCCATAAAAAAGAGTACTGATACATGTTATACAGCATGGATGAGTCTTACAAACATTATGCTAAGTAAAAGCCAGTTACAAAGGGCCAGTTATTATGATACAACGTACATGAAATGTTCAGAATAGGTGAATCCATAGAGATGCATAGATTAGTGGCTGCCAGAGGCGGGGGGGCGGGGGCATGGGGCATGACTTTTAATGGGTATGGGGTTTCTTTTTGGAACTACAAAAACATTCTGATTTAGATGGTGGTGAGGATTACACAACCTGTGACTATACTATACTAAAAATCACTGAATTGTACATTTTAAAGTGTGTATTTCATAGTATATAAATCATATCTGGATTTCAAAAACATTTCTCAGGTGTAAAGCACTTCTATGTATAGAACAAGAAATATTTGCTTTATATAATTTGAAGCTACATTTTTAGGAACACTCAGCTCTAGAATTTTTACATCTTTCACATGAATCTTTTATCATTATTAGTAACCTTTTATATCTAGTAATACCTTTTGTCATTCAGTATAGTTGCCTGATATTAATATGTTTACTCCAGCTTTCTTTGGTAAGAATTTCCATTTTTTCATCTTGCAATCATTTTGAGTCCTTATGTTAAAGGACACATTATCTCTTATAAATGTGTCTAGTAAAACATATGTTTAGGTGTTTTTAATCACATCTGACAACTTTAATTTTTATTAGAGGATTTAATCAATTTACAAAATTTACTGTGGTGGCTGATATACTTGTATTTTTTTTGCTATCTTAATATGTGCTTCCTATTTGTACTTCTTTTTCTACATCTTAATATTCTACTCTCTTTTATTCTTTATTGGTTAGACATTTTCTGTTTTATTTTTTACTCGATTTATCCTTTTTTAAGTTGCAAGTATTTATGTACTTCTTTTAACAGTTATGCTGTTTATTAATATGTATATTCAACAGTCTAAAATTAACATCTAAACATTACAGAAAGCTTAGATCACTGTTTTTGCTATCACATCCCTCTAAACTTACCTGACGTTTTCCCTTCATCTTAGTATTTTACAGATTCTAACCTCAAAGTAGATATTAGTTTGCTCTTATTGAATTGTTTGTTTACATACTTGTCAGCATCTTTTCTTTGCTCCATATTCTTTCTTTTAAAAATTTTTTTTAGAAAGAAAGAGAAACATTGATGTGAGAGAGAAACATGGGTCGGCCACTTCCTGCACGCCCCCTAAAGGGGATCCAGTCTGCAACCCAGGCACGCGCCCTGACTGGGAATTGAACCAAGACCTCTCAGTCCATGGGACGATGCTCAGTCCACTGAGCCACACCAGCCAGGCTCCATATTCTTTCTTGAAACTCAGACCTTCCTTCTGGGGTCATTTTAGTTCTGCCAATAGCACATTCTTTAGAACATCTTTTCTCAATAGAGTTTCCTGAGGAATTTAAGCTGCAATGTCCTTAAGGCATTCAGTTTGCAATAAATTAACTTCCCTAATGTGCAGCTAGAATGATACGATAGGAAACTAATCCCTGAAGACATGTTCTGTAACGTTTAATTCTCTTATGGAACCCAGTTGAGAAAGGCTGCTTCAGAATTTCCTTTAGTGTGTGGATCTTTCTCTTTCTTTTTAAAAAATATCAACGTGAAAGTGTAATATGGGTTAGCTGCCTCCTGCACACCCTCCCTCACTGGGAACTGAGCCCACAACCTGGGCACGTGCCCTGACTGGGAATTGAACTGGCAACATTTTGGTGCACGGATGATGCCCAACCAACTGAGCCACACTGGCCAGGGTTAGTGTGTGGATATTTTGATACCAAAATTTCTTAGCCTTTTGTTTGTCTGAAAGTTCTGCATTTTGTTTTATGTTTTTTGAAAGGCACTTTTACTGGGTAAAGAACTCTAAGCTGTGAGCTTGTTTCTCTAAGCACACTGGAAGGGTACCTTCTGGACAGTAAGCTTGCATTCATATATGGAAAAGATTGACACAGGTATGGAGCTAAGGTACAGTAACAAAATAAGAGGTGTGAATCAGAGAGATGTGTATTCAAACACCTCTAAACTTTGTTGTCGTTTTTATCCACAAAATAGATAAATTGCATCGTTAAGTTAGAAATGATGCATATATTGCATCTGAAATACAATACATTCTCATGATCTTCACGATTATTACTTCTGGTTTTCTCTGAGTCTATATTTTATCCATGGGTTTGAGTCTAGAGCCCTGGAGAATGAAGTTCTCTGTAGGATCTGTGAAGGTACATGATAGAATTCTCATTCAGTAAACCAGCCATTCAGATTAGCAGAGAAGACGACAATCTGACTCCTTCGTCCTCATCCCAAATAAAATGGTTTCTTCCTCCCTTTGGACACCAGATTATTTGCTACAATTCTTGAAGCTTTTCGGCACTATTTCTAACAGGGTCATAACATTTTATTATAGTGCACTGGTTTGAGTTTAGGCCAAATGCTGTATTTTGAGTATAAGAATGTGATTCATTTTCAAAGGTGTCATTTGGAAAAATTGGTTGGGTTATTCATGCATATGTGTGTCTCATCTCACTGATATCTGTCCACGATCATTAAGAGCTTTGACTATACCCAGGTAGCTGAGGCGTAGAAGACACAGAGTGCTCAACGCCAGGCTTTACTGTCATACATGTCAGAACCAAATAACCAAGTTTCTGTTCCTTCTCTGATTGGATGTGATGCACCAGGTCACCTTGGAGACACATAGGCTGCAGGAAAATGCCTGAAGACATTGTTCACTCTCCCTGTATTCCCCCCCTCCTACACACACAAACACACACACACTCACACTCACACACACACCAGGGGGTTGCCAGACAGCATACACAATACTCTGGCATGGAGAAAGCAGTAAATCTTACTCTCTCTAAGGCCAGAGACCCTTCACTTCCTCCCAACTGAGTATGAAGAAGCAGAAATGCAACTTACTTTTATTTTATTCATATCTTCCTAAAGGCACATTTAATTAGAGAATAAAAACCTGCTAAGGATTAAGCTTTAACTAGGTAAATTAGTCACTGAAGATATGAAGACTTTTTTAAGCCTAAAGATAGACATCATATGGCTACACTACAATAAACATAACAGTTTCCCTACTGAATGTTATTTTCACATATTTGCTATTGCAGACAATAGTGTATTTGATAGTCTAGACACAAATCTTCCTCCTGAAAAACTGCTTGTAGACGAACTCCAACAATCCACAAAATAGGTTATAACGCAGTCTTAAAGTTTGGGTATATTTGTAGTTTGGATGTCAAAACCACTCTCACTGCTTTCAAACAGGATGATCTAGGAAGAAAAAAGAGAGGCTAACTGTAAGAAAGTGTGAGCCCATTTGATACAGGATGAGAAAGACACAGCACTTTGCATTCCAGGGATGAAGGCAGATCCGGACATTTCTGACACATAAAGGCAGGGGTGGGAGTAACTCACCTCATTGCCTTCTGGGTGAAGCCAGGCACCAGGAAGGTAAAGTGTTTCCTGTGGTCCAATGTTCCAATATCGCCCAAGGTTGCGTCCATTAATGAACACAAATCCGTAAGTCCAGTTCTGGAAGGGATGGAGGCTTGAGACATGGGAACAGATTCACACTGGCAACGTAAAATCTAAGGTACTTGAGGAGGGAGAACAAGACTGAGATGCTTCGTGGCACTGAGAGTGAAAGTGAGTTTACAAGGGGATGGGTTCTAGAAGTTTTACCCTGTTGTACCTGGTCTAGGGATGGCAAAGAAAAACATGAACCAACCTTTCAGTGCTAATGTTACTATTGTTCCTGCCCTGTGATATATAATGCTGCGTATGATTTTTAAAGCAAGTCTTCTGATTCCAGTACTGAGTAACAGAGATGAACACTACTGCTGACAACAGCCTTAAAAGCTACACAGTTTTCAAGTCTGTTTGCAATACAATGAAGAATTACAGGACCAAAATCTTGAAGAAAACTGAGAAACAAGAAGACATTGAAGCAGTTTCTCTGCTAGAGACATCTGCTTGTTCAGGAAGAAGTGGCTGAGAAGCTGAGCAGAACTTTTCACAGCCTCACAAGTTTAGAGGAACAAAAAGTGGATACCAGGGAACCTTATTAAATAATATACACTCTGGGTTAGGAACCTGAGGGGCTACACCCTAGGAGAAGAGTAAGCTAGAAATAGTCCAGTCCCTGGATAGAAGCCTTGATTCAAATCATTTCAGTCTTTGTAACTGTAGTAGGTCTAGTGTCCCTAGTTACCTCAAGAACTGGGTGTAAATACTCTGACATCATCTGAGGCCTTGAATTATTTCTAGCACTTTTCATAATGTCCAGCACTCAACTAACAAATAATCAAGCAGATGGGGAGGGAGACAATATAATAAAAATGAAGAGGAACAATAGGCAATAAACATAGATGCACAGGAGATACATAAAATGGATTTACAAGTCACAGGCTTTGAAATAACTATGTCTATTAAACTAGTATGTCAAAAGAGATAAAAGATGACTTAGAATTTTGACAGAGAAGTGGAAACTATAAAAAAAAGACTATGGTTTATTATCAATAAGACAAGAAGTAACAAGTGTTGAGGAGGTTGTGGAGAAAAAGAAATACTCATGCACTCCTGGCGGGAATGTAAACTGGTACAGCCACTATGGACAACAGTATGAAGGTTCCTCAAAAGATACATGTCCCTTTTTGTTCATTGCAGCATTATTCATGGTTGCCAAGACATGGGAATAACCCAAGTGTCTTTCGATGAATAACTAGGTAAAGAAGATGTGGTAGATATAAAGATGAAATACTGCCATTTTCAAAAACATGAGCGAATCTTAAGAATATCATGCTGAGCAAAATCACTTAGGTAGAAAAGAACAAGAATCATTATTTCACTCATATGTGGGATATACAACAGAAAGCAACAAATGAAAAAAACAAAACAAACATACAAGCAGACCAAAAAAACTCATTGACACAGAAACAACATGGTGGTTACCAGAGGGGAAGGCAGGAGAGGTTGAGGAGAGTAAAGGGAGTCAGATATATGGTGATGGAAAAATATTAAACTTTGGGTGATGAGCACACAATGCAGCATACAGATGATGTGTTATAATATTATACACATAAAACTTATATAATCTCATTAACCCAGTAATTAATGGGTTAATAAATTTAATTTAAAAGTTTGCAAATAAAAAAGGCTATAGTTATAGAACAAAAATCTAGAACTAAAAAAATGTAATAATAAAAATTAAGAATTTGGCAGATGTTTTGAATAGAAGATTAGATAAACTAAATAGAGAATATAGCTAAATAGAGAATTAATTAGCTGAATATTAAGATAAAAGAAATTTTTCAAAATTAAGCTCAGAGGGAAAAAAAAAAAGAGAGAAATCCACAAGACAAGAAGAGAAAAAAAGGATTATTGCAAAATGGTCTCTCATCAGAGTCTCTGAAATATTTCAGTTGAAAGAAAAACATTGCTGGACTAGATTTTAAATAAAGCAGTTATATGCTATGTATAATAAAATAATCTAAAATACAGCTGCATAGTATTCCATTGTGTATATGTACCACCGCTTTTTTATCCTATCTACTGATGAACATTTGGGCTGTTTCCAGACCTTAGCTATTGTAAATAGTGCTGCTATGAACATGGGGGTACATATATTCTTTCTGATTGGTGTTTCAGGCTTCTTAGGGTATACTCCTAGAAGTGGGATCACTGGGTCAAATGGCAGTTCAATTTTTAATTTTTTGAGGTAACACCATATTGTTTTCCATAGTGGCTGCACCAGTCTGCATTCCCACCAGCAGTGTCCTAGAGTCCCCTTTTCTCCACACCCTCCCCAGCACTTGTGGTTTGATGATTTGTTGATGGCAGCCATTCTGGCAGGTGTGGGGTGATACCTCAGTCGTTTTAATTTGCATCTCTCTGATGATTAGTGACATTGAGCATTTTTTTTCATATGTCTCTTTGCCATTTGTCTCTTTAGGTACTCTGCCCATATTTTAATTGGGTTCTTTGTCTTTTTTTGTTGAGTTGTATGAGTACTCTACATATTTTGGAAATTAACCCCTTATCTGATGTATCACTGGCAATTATGCTCTCCCATAGAGTGGGTCGCCTTTCCTTTGAGATGACATGGAGGGACCTGGAAAGTATTATCCTAAGCAAAACAAGTCAAACAGAGAAAGACAAGTATCATATGATCTCTCTTATTTGTAGAATATAGTGAACATAACAGTCTGAAGAACAGGGTAGTCCCAGAGACGTGGAAGTAGGGTACAGACTGACAATCCTCAGGAGAGGGGGTGGGGGGGAGACAAACCACAGAACTTATATGCATGTATACATGACCAATGGACATGGACAATAAAACTGGGGCCATGGTGGGGAGGGAGGGAGAGGAGGGTGTCAATGGGGGAAAAAGGAGAAACATCTGTAACAAAAATAAATTTAAAAAATAAAAAAAAGAAGAAATAATAATAAAAAAAAAATCTAAAATACAAAGACATTGGAAAATAAAACAATAGAAAAGATATCATAGGTAAACTTTAGCCTGGCAGGTGTAGCTCAGTGGTTGAGCGTTGACCCATGCACCGAGAGGTCACCGGTTCGATTCTGGGTCATAGCACATGCCCAGGTTGTGGGCCAGATCCCCAGTGGGGAACATGCAGGAGGAGGCCAATCAATGTTCTCTTTCATTGATGTTTCTATCTCTCTCTCTCTACAACCAATAAAAAATATTTTTTTTTTTTAAAAAAAGAATGTAGGTGAGTTTGAAGAACTTCCACCCTTTGCTCTCTACAGCTTGTTGTTATTTGATTTTTTCCATTGTGTTTTGATATATCATTTTTTCATCACTAAAAATTTTAATATGGGTAGGAGGATGAGTAATTGTTACATTACTAAAAGCAATTCTGAAATTACAAGGAAAGTGGTTTATAGGAGACAGGTTTTAGTGGAATTTCAAAAGTTTCCCAAACAGGTAGATTGATTTTTTTTCAATTACAGTTTACATTCAATATTATTCTATATTAGTTTCAGGTGTACGGCACAGCGGTTAGACAGTCATATATTTACAAAGTGGTTCCCCAAAAATTTCAAGTATCCACCTGGCCCCATACATAGTTGTTACATGTGTTCCCTATGCTGTACTTTACATCCCCATGACTATTCTGTATCTACCAATTTGTTGTTGTTTTTTAAATCCTCACCCAAGGATACTTTTCCATTTATCTTCATATAGAGTGCGAGGGAGAGAGAGAGGGGGAAACATCGATGTAAGAGAGACATATCGCCTCCCGCACGAACCCAACCAGGGGCTGGGCACCAAACCGCCACCGAGGGATGTGCCCCTGACCGGAATCGAACCCAAGACCCTTTGATCTTCAGGCAAACGCTCTAAAGTCTATCCATTGAGCCAAACCGTCCAGGGCCCAATTTGTACTTCTTAATCCCTTCCCCTTTCCACCTAGCCCCTCAATACCACTCCCCTCTGGCAATTTTTGAACAATGATAAATTAGAAGCATTGAGAGGTGTTGGATAGCTTGGTTGGAGGTGAGGAAGAAAGGGAAGTATACTGGCCAAGAACACTATGGCTTTGCTCCAGGACTCTTTAGGAAAGAACAGGGAAGAGATAAACCGAAGAACTTATATGCATATATGCATAACCAAAGGACACAGACAACAATGCCATGGGGGCGGGGCGGGGCGGGGCGGGAGGGGGGTGTCAATGGGGGAAAAACGGAGAGACATCTGTAACAAAAATAAATAATTGATTAAAATAAATAAATAAAATGTTCATAGGGAGAAAAGAAAAAATAGGTGTAACAAAAGAAAAACAAACAATAAAATGCATTTTAAAAAGAAAGAGTAGGTGTTGGAAAAACCAGAGAGAAGGGCTGCTCACTTACTGACAGGCTCAGGAAGGTGTCCATGGGAGAAGAGCCAGCCTCCAAGGTGCCGAGATAGAAGGCAGGGCCCGGATGGCTGTCTGCGATGGGCCTCCAGGGGACAGCGCGGAGCCTGGGGAAAGGGCACAGCCTTGAGGGAGAGAAGAGCCCTTTCCCAATTCTAGTCCCAGCATGGAACCCAGACCTCCCATGCAGGGACTAGGATTCTGTTTCACTGGGCCATAGAAGACTAGAAGCGTTCAAGTTAGAAACAGGAGACTTTTTGTAGGAGTCCAGTCCTGATTCTAAAGACTACAATCCTGAGTACATCATTTCAGGTCTCTGAATCTTGCGCTCTTTATCTGCAAAGTGAAGACTTTGAAGTCTCTGAGTTCCCTGATCCTTCCAAGCATCTACTGGGAGTTAAGTGGGAACATACCTCTCAAAAAAGCTCGTTTTCATTTCCAGAGAATAAATAGTGAAATCCTCCAGGATAATCCCATTGATGGTAACAGGTCCAACTATCCCTGAGAGCGGGAGGAAGGGAAGAGAAGACCATTAGGCACTGGATATTCTGTGTCTAGACAAAGAAATGCAGACTGCATACACCTGTGACAAAGGTTCAGCCATGAGGGCAAACACTTGTCTGACTTGCTGTGACTGCAGGTTTCTTGTTGTATGTTTTCATCCTATGGAGGAAGTTCCCTACTATTATCAGAGCTTTTTCTGAAATTCCCAAAATGAGCCTAGATCCTGCTCCAGGACAAGCCGGCACCCAACATACCTCCCCACTTCCCTGCTCTGGAGAACTGAAGGAGGCAGGACAACAAAGCGGGAAGGAGTCTGCACCTTCGGTCCTGGGACCTAAGTCTCCCGTGGCCTACGTGGCTCGTCTCCCCGCCCAGCCCCAACACAGCCCCAGTCTTCGTTCCAAGTAACCATGAAGAGAAATGACAGCCTGTCTCTCAGGCCCAGAGCCCACCTTTCTGCTGGCCTTGAATTTTCCATGAATAATTGACTCGTCCTTGATTCTCCACCAGGATCCTTAGAAGTTGACATTCCTGTTGGGGACCCAGCAGTTCATGGAAACTACAGTCATGCAGGGGGTGTACTCTAGATCCCATTCTTGCCTCTGAGTCCCAGGTAGAAAGACAAGCAAGTGAGAGATGAGGACGCTCCCGAACCAGCGGCTCTCCTTCTCTCTTAAGGCCCATATGTTCCTATTCCACACTCAGTCTCTCCTTCCTTCCGCTGGTCGGCCTTAGGGAAGGCGGAGAGACTCTGCTGTGCCTTCGACAGAGACCTGACCAATGGCTGATGGTTGACTCGGGGCTTAATGGGGAAATTCCGTTTCACTGAAACATGTATACTACAGCTACTGGTACATCTGGGCCTGGAGCTGCCATTGTGCTGATAGCTCTAAACAGCACTTCCTGCTGGGACTCTAAGTGACAAGGGATACCAGAGGGCAGTGGTACAGAAAAGAGGCAGTCTATCTCAGAATCAGGTGGTGCTTGCATTTGAGTTGGAGGTCTAGGGCAGCATCTAGATTCTTGAACTACATACCCTGATTTCAGGAATATTCAACTTCTGATCAACATCATTCAGAAATCCTATATTTGTCTCATTCAAAAACACCTGCAAAAGAAGAGCTGGTGTCAGACTGGTAGGCCTCCCTGAAGAAAGGAGAAGAGAGGCTCTGGTTTAGGGAGGAGGTCATCACAAAGGAAGAGACCAGCCTTGGTGCCCACAGATGGCTGGAGGCGGACAGGGAGGCCCCAACAGACTTAGGTTATGATAAAGCAGAAAGCAAGTCTCTTTGGTTTGACTTCATATTTTCAATGTCTCACACATAGCAGGTGCTTAAACATACTATTACACAGTAAAGTTGACCAGTGACTGACCACCCTCCCCAGTAGAAAAGTTAGGCTACATGTCCTTCTTACCTCCATAGACAGCCCGCTGGCCCCTACCTGTGCTGAATCTTGAACATTAGCACGGAGGTAACCTCCAAAGCAGATGAAAGTCTCATAAAGCACAAACCCATAGGACTGACCACTCCCATTGTTTATGGGAAGATTCTCCATGTTGACTGGTTGATGAGCTATGACTGGCTGTGAGAGACACGGCAGAGACAGGACCAGGGTGATGAGAAGTCAGGATCCTTCCTCCTAAGACCCGCCTTTTTTACTGTACCTCCTAATGATCCCCAAAGCTCTTCAGAGGAGAAATGCTGAAACCGATACTATGTGATAATGTTTTATATCTGCACTGACCAGGAAACTCAGGGACTGTGGGGGGCATAGTAGAGGGCACAACTGCTGTAATCATGAGAATTAACAAAGTAAATAAGTTGTGTTCTAACATAACTTAAGTTGAATAAAGAATAATGCACCAGCCCTGGCTGGTTTGGCTCAGCGGTTAGAGCGTCGGCCTGCAGACCAACGAGTCACGAGTTCTATTCCAGCCAAGGGCACGTACCTCAGTTGTGGTTCGTCTGGCCCTGGTCAGGGTCATGCAGGAGGCAACCAGTCGATGTGTCTCTCTCACATCCATGTTTCTCTCTCTCTCCCCCCCCTCTTTTTCTCCCTCCCTCCCTCTCACTGTATCTGAAGATAAATAGAAAAATAAAACAGACAACAAAAAAATCAACAAAGAATACTGCACTAAACAAACATTTATTTAGCACCTACAATGTGGCAGGCACTTCTTTTTATCTAAAATGGTGATAGAAGAGGTAAAATCAATATGAATTCAAGAGCTGACATTTTTCAAACAATTTCCACCTTTTCTTTAACATAGGGCCGGTAGTCTAATTTTAAAGAGAGAGCAGGACCTGTGGCATTTCCCTGAGTTGGCATAGTGGATGAAGAAGATTCAGAAACTCAATTTCATAGTTCCTAGCTCAGCAGCCTTTCCCGTGTGGATCACGCAGGCCCCACAAAAGCATTCACCAGATGGGCTCATCTGAACTGGGAAATGTGATCCTCTAATATCCTGCCTCTCTCCCCACCCCCACTCATTCTTCAAGTTCAAGCCCCTTCATAGTCCATCAGGAAGGAGTTGTGGGTCCTACCCCATAGTTCTAAATTGGGACGAAACGCAGAGAATTCGTTTTCACACGTTCAATAAAAAGCCCTTGAAAGACTCTCCACTCTGTGGCCCACGGCCTCCTCTCCCCCAGTCCAGTGCCCCGGCAGAGCTCACCTCATCTAAGGACGGCAGGACATCCCACAGCGGCAAGAAAACAGATGGTTTCACAGGAGGGTACACAGCCTTCGGGGTGAGCTTGGGTAAGGGGGGCAGGGGCAACGCTGCAATGAAAATGGGCCACGGGGCAAGAAGTGCCTGAACTAACTACTGACTTCTGCAAGCCTCCCCCTCCCTACCCGTGAAGTCATGCAGCCCAGGACCAGCATGAGAAACGGGTCCTACCCTGGTACATGGCTATACTTCTCCAAGGGTGATGAGGAACTGTCAAGAACTAAGTCAGAGCCATTCTGTTCACACAGATGGCTGACAGCACACCCTGAGCAGGTGGTGTCGGCCACACAGACTGAAGGCTCACAGGGGCAAGAGCTCTGCTTTACACCTCTGGGCAACACCAGTGCACACTAAGGTTCTAGCACATAGTAGATGGTTAATTAACATTATTTAAATAAATTAAATTAAACAGAATTATTTTTTGCTATTGTATAGAAAGGTGATTATGCTATACATCATATGAAGAGCTTTACGAATAGAAACTTAATTTTCACAATCATGGTAGGAGAAGACTATCATTGTCTTCACGTTTGGGGGAAGAAACTGAGGCTGAAAGGGCTTAAAAACACTCGTGCAAAACCACAGAGCTTTTATGTGGGGAAACCAGGATTTGAACTTAAGTGACTCTTGCTCTGAAACATTTCATTAAGCTTTGCCCATAGGGGAATCCTTCCCTTTCCTCGCCCTTCCAATACGTGAGGAGGGCCAGGCCTCAAGTAAAATGGTTGCTAAGTACCTACGACGGATCCCAGGAGCTTTCGAAGCTTGAAATATTTTTGGGTGTAGTCCCCGGCCTCTGTCAGCACAGCATCATAGTCTGAAAGACACAGGGCACTGTCACCGGCCAGGCAGTCCTGCACAGCAGACCCTGTCTCAGCACTTCAGGCACGAGATGGCCCGAGCCACCAGAGGGAGGCAGAAGACACCAGCTCCACCCTTGGCCCGGTCCATCCCAGGCGAGGCTGGGGTACTGATGCCGATCTAGGAACATTCCCCACCACCTTCCTGTGGATCTGAGGCGGCTGTCACACTGGGCTCGTCCTCTGTTTCACTTGCTAAGGGACACTCTCTTCTTCCCTCAATCTGGACTGTGTATCTGTGTCTACTGATGCCCTACAGCAATCACCATTTGTAATCTGTCTCTCTTGGAAGGTTCAAGTCAAGAGATCAATGCACATGATGAGAGAAGCAAGACTTCAGGTCATGGGCAGCCCCATCTACTGCAATGACAGCCTGTTGGGAGCATTATGAACAGCACAGAAACAAGAAAAATAGATAGAAAAAATCAATACTCAGCATAAATTATAGGTCAAGAACCCAGTAAAGCCAGAATATGTTTTCTGGCCTCCTCTGGTGAGCTCCAGGACCACCTGTGCTGGAAGGGGCCCAAACCCCGATCACTTGCCATAGCTGGTGACAACACCTCTGTGCTCCCCATAATCTGTGGCCCCATTTATGAAACCGAAGTTGGTTCCACCATGGAACATGTACACGTTGAAGGAGATCTCAAATTTGATAAATTCAGACACAGTATTTTTAACATCTGTAGAGGAGAAATATAAGTAGAGAAAATTAAAAATCACCAATTGGAAAACAATGTATTCACTGCTATGTTCACTGTAGCATTATTTACAACAGCCGAGCTATGGAAGCCGCCTAAGAATGCCCATCAGTAGACAACTAAATAAAGAACAGACAGTATGTATATACAAAGGAATATTACTCAGCCATAAGAAGGGTGAAATCTTATCATTTGCAACAACATCAGTAGACCTAAAGAGTATTATGCTCAGTGAAATAAGTCAGACAGAGAAAGACAAATACCATATAATTTCACTTATATGTGGAATCTAAAGAAGAAAATAAATGAACAAACAAAACAGAAACAAAGTCATAGATACAGAGAACAGACTGATGGTTGACAGATGGGAAGGGGGTAGGGGTACTGGGTGAAAAAAAGGTGAAGGGATTAAAAATTATAAATTGGTAGTTACAAAATGATCAAAGGGATATGAAGTACAGCATAGAGAATAGAGTCAATAATATTGTAATAACTATGTATGGTGTCAGGTCAGGGGGAATCACTTCATAAAGTATATAAATGTCTAACCACTATGCATGCTATACACCTGAAACTAATATACAATCATATTTTATGTCAAAAAATAAACATTTAATATCATTAATAAAAAAATTAAAAGAAGACAGAAGTCACTGATGAAATCTTATTATTCTCAGTCACACCCCACAACCAATTTAATTGTTTTGCCCTTCAACCTCCCATAAGATTCTAAGCAAAAAATAGGCGGGATTGGCCAGAACTACTCTAGGCAACCATGTCTTGATTCCTAGAGACTTTTATAAAAATTCTTTTTCTCATCCTGGCCAGTTTGGGTCAGTGGTAGAGCATCAGCCCGTGGACCAATTCTGGCCAATGACATGTACCTTGGTTGTGGTTTATCCCCGGCCCTGGACGGGGTTGTGCAAAAGGCAACCAGTCTGTGTGTCCCTCTCACACTGATATTTCTCTCTCTCTCTCCCTCTCTCCCCTCCTCCTACTCTATCTGAAGATATTTGAGAAAATATCCTCGGGTGAGTATTTTTTTTAAAATTAGTCTGGCCGGTGTGGCTCAGTGGTTGTCAACCCCTGCACCAAGAGGTCGCCGGTTCAATCCTGGTCAGGACACATACCCAGGTTGTAGGCCCGATCCCCAGTGGGGAGCATGCAGGAGGCAGCCAATCAATGCTCTCTCTCATCGATGTTTCTATCTTTCTCTCACTTCCTCTCTCTCTAAAATCAATAAAGGAAAAAAATTTTTTTTAATTTTTTCTTTTTTTTTTTTTTTAATTTTTTATTTTTTATCCTCACTCGAGGATATTTTTCCATTTTTTGTACAGATAGAGTGGGAAGGAGAGAGAGAGAGAAACATCGACGTGAAGGGACACATCGAGTGGCTGCCACCCGTACGACCAACCAGGGCCGGGGACAAACTGTAACCGAAGTACGTGCCCTTAGCGAGAACTGAAGCCGGGTCTCTCCGGACCTCAGGCTGACGCTCTAACCGCTGAGCCAAACCCGCCAGGGCTTAATTATTTTTCTTATGGACATAATTGGACTCCTAACTATATATATTAAATAATAGCCTAAGAACCCTTACGTCATTTAAACATCTAATGTCCATTATGACTTTTGAAATTGCATAAATAGTGTCCCCTTATCACTACCTTCTAGGGTATATCTCTGAGGACACTGATTCAGGACCTCTGCAATAACCCAAGTGGCGGTCAGTCTCTAGCCACAGAAACCCTGGCTCTGGCGCCATGACTTAACAGGTGTGATCATCTTTCCACTGGCCCTGGAAAGCAGGATGGTGAGAAGTCAGATGTGGGTGCAACTCTGGCTCTGTTCTTTACTGTTGGTAGGACCCTGCACAGCCTGCTTTTTCTCTCAGAGCCTCTCGTCCTTATTTGTTAAATGAAGGTCCTAATTCCTACTGACTCCAGCATAGGGCTGATGAGAGAATGAACTGCTGAGCGAATATATGTAAGAAACATGTCATAGTGTGTGACATACAAATGATCAGAGACACATTGTTTGGGTGATGGAAGTGGGGGTGGGGTACTATTTTTCAGGCCAAAGCAGACTTTTCTCAGTTGCTCAAGACTTTTCAATGGTTCTCTTTCCTTCAGGTACAAGTGAGCTTGTTTTCATAACAGTGAGCAAAATCTCTGGAATAGCAAAATACTTTTATTGACAACAGCTGCCAGGCACTGATCCGAGTGGTGTACATGGATCGCCATACTTAGTCTTCACACGAGCCCATGCGGTGAGCCACGTGATAATCCACATTTGGGGACGAGGACACACACTCAGGAGGGAAGGAAAGCTGCCCTGGCCATGTGGTCAGTGCTGCAGTGCTGGGACTGTCATCCTGACCCCTCTGGCTCCGGGATCTACCCTCTCGACCATCACTGCTGATCTTCCGACAATTACTGCCACGTCTGACAGCTCCCCAGCAACGGCCTGCGCACTTTCCAGAGACGACTAAGACTTTTGGCAAATGCATCCCATTCTTCAGAGATGTCATCTTCACAGAGACCCTTCTGTGACCACCTTGACCCCTCTCTGCAGGTATGCCCCTGGCTTTTCTCTCCTGTCTCCTCTTTGTCTGCTTCAAAGCAGTTATCAGATATTGATTGCTTTACTTCTTACTACTTTACTACTTTAATTCTTGGCAGTTCCACTAAAGTACAAGCTCCCTGGGGGTAGTAACTGTTATTCACCAGTACACCTTCAGGCCTAGCCAAGTCCCTGTACACAGTATGTGTTGAATTACTAGTCCTGATTGAATTAGCTGATTGAACTAGCAGAGAAATGTGTGACTCAGGGTATCTCGACTTGGTCCAAACACTGAGAAACACTTACCATTTGCATCTTTGACTATGTGATGATCTCCCCACATGTCATACCAGCCGACCCAGTATTCCATGACCATAATGGGCTTATTTTTCTAGAAACAAACCAAATAAAATACTAAGTCTGACAAAAAGGGAAAAAAAAGTCGGAAAAACTGAATACAGCACATGAGAGTTTGAGGAACTTGTGCTTCTCACTTGTTTCCAAGTCAGCCCGACCCCCCTCACCATGACACCTTTGGTTTCTCCACTGCTCCTCACGATCATGATCGCCAGACTCTCCCAGCGTTGAGTGCCTCCCTGCTACACCTGGAGAGCACCTTCTGTGATGCCAACCTCGCCGCATGCGAAGCTGGGACTGGACTACAATTCCTCACGTAGAAACTGAGGCTCAAGGGTCACATTGCTGGTAAGGTCAGCGACACAACTCAGATCCACGTCTGACCCAAACTAGCAGCCGCTGAATTATACTGTCTATTAAATATATTGTTCAAAGGCATCCAAGACGGCAGAGTAGGTGGAAATTACACTCACGTTCTCCCTGGACCAAAATTACAACTAAGTTATAGAAAAATCAGCCTGGATAACCATATGAAGACTAGCTGAATAGAAGTAAACACGTTGAGACTGGCAGGAGGGGCAGAGATGCAAAAGGGGTGAGCTCCCACCCACGTGTGGCAGGCGACTGAGAATCTGGAGAAATATCTTAGCTGCAAAGTTTGCCCCTAAGGAGCGAGGGGTCTCGGCCCCGTGCTGGGCTCCCCAGCCTGGAACACCAGTGCTGGGAAGAGGAGCCCATATAACATCCAGCTGTGAAAATCAGCATACTCTCTCTGCCCAGGGGAGATGGGAGTCGGCCAGAAACCCAGGTGTTCTAGGACCAGCACCCCCAGGCATTCGCCCTGGGCTTCAGCTGAGGGACAGCAGCTCACAGCACACTGGAGTCATACAGGGAGAGACTGGGTTGTGTGGCTTTGGGGAGAGGCCTCGGGGGACAGCTGCCAGCGCCCCTGTGCTGAATCCCTCCCCCACAGCACACACAGACACCATCCTTCCTGGTAGAGCATTCCCCTCCATCTGGCATTAGCCTGGGAGCTACACTAGTCCCGCCCTGCAGAGTCCTCGAGGCCCTGCCCTGCCCTGCCCTGCTCCCATAAGGCTCTGGGGCCTGCTGCCAGCAGCCAGTCTGGGCCTGCATTGCAGTCTTTCTTCAGAACTGTTGAGGAATTCCAGGCAAGCTCAGGGTTGCCAGAGACACACAACCAGAAGCTGAGCTGTGGTTTTAGGGCAAGAGATGTCTTCCCACGGACCTGGCAGGTGCAACCATTCCTGTGAAGAGCCCTCCTTCCACATGACCAAATCTTAATCTATTTTAGCCTGATGAACTCTACTGGCTCCAACCAGGTGACTGCTAAGACCCCACCCCACCACAAAGGTCCACAGGCCCCAGGCATGAGGTTGCTGGCCTCAGTGTACTCTAAGACTTTTGCTGAGTGGCCTCAGACCCAGCACTGGTGCCAAGTTAGAAACTGTATCAACCTGGTGAACACCACTCACCACTACCTGGTGACTCATTAAGAAATTGCCTCAGGCAACTCACATAACACCTGAGGCTCTTATAGTGAATGAGCCTAGTGGGTAACCGGTAAGCAGCAACAAATCTTGGGGTGCCTTGGGGCTTTTGCTGAGCAGCCCCAGGCCTGCTACAGGTGACAGAGGAACTCGATATGCCACTTTGCCCCTCCCATGTGCACCTAGGCCCAGCACAGACAGCTATCAATCATGGACCTTTTTGTAGCTCCAAACAGGGAGCCCAGGGTTGCTCTAACATTGACCTACACTGGAGTCCCTCCCCAAAGGCCCCAGTACCAATACACCTGCTGGCTGTCCTCAGCTACATCGGAGCACAGCGTAGTTAGCTCCACTGATGGCACAACAAACTGGAGATCTTGGCAGGCATCAGACCCTGCTGGGGAAAATTCTACTTCTTGGGGTCAGTCTTCAGATAGCAGCTCACACACTATGATCAGGGTCAACTCTCACAGTCAACCAGCCTGAGGTCCAAACCCACCAACAGGTAGGCCAACAGCAATAAAGACTCAATAACATGACCCACACAAGAGACACTCTTAGAATATCCAGATCACATACTCAAGGAGACTGCACCACTCAGCCCACAGGACACCTACCATATAAGGTCACCCTACCAAGACTAGAAGAAATATCAGACCTATCTAATACACAGAAACAAACACGGAGAGGCAGGCCCTGGCCTGTGCAGCTTAGTTGGTTGAGTGTCATTCCATGCACTGAGAAGTAGACTGTTCGATTCCTAGTCTAGGCACATGCCTGGGTTGCAGACTTGATCCCCAGTAGGGGATGTACAGGAGACAGCAATCCATGTTTCTCTCTCATCAATGTTTCTCTCTCTCTCCCTCTTTCTTCTTCTTCTCTCTCTAAAGTCAATAAAAACATATTTTTAAAAAAGATTTAAACAAATACAGAGTGGCAGCCAAAATGGGAAGACAAAAAAGCATGCCCTAATTGAAAGAACAGGATAAATCTCCAGAAAAAGAACTAAATAAAATTCTCAAGAGCCCTGGCCCAGTGGCTCCATTGGCTGGAGCGTCATCTCATACACCGAAAGATTGTGGGTTCAATTACCAGTCAGGGCACATACCTAGGTTGTGGGTTTGAGCCTCAGTCAGGGTGCATATGGGATGCAACCGACTGATGTTTCTCTCTCACATTGATGATTTTTTTCTCTCTCTCTTTAAAAATAAACAATAAGCCCTGGCCGGTTTGGCTCAGCGGTTGGAGCGTCGGCCTGCGGTACAGAGAGACCCGGGATCGGTTCCCGCTAAGGGCACGTACCTCGGTTGCAGTTTGTCCCCGGCCCTGGTTGGTCGTGCCGGTGGCAGCCACTCCATGTGTCCCTTCACATCGATGTTTCTCTCTCTCTCTCTTCCTCTCTCTCCCTCCCGCTCTATCTGAACAAAAAATGACCTCGGGTGAGGATTAAAAAATAAATAAATAAATAAAACAATCAATAAAACATATCCTTGGATGAAGATTTTTTAAAAAATATGCTCAAGAAACTTAGGGGAGCCCTGGCCAGTATGGCTCAGCAGTTAGAGTGCTGGCCTATGGACTGAAGGCTCTTGGGTTCAATTCCTGGTCAAGGGCATGTACCTGGGTTGGAGGTTCAATCCTCGGCTCCAGTGGGGGTTGTGCAGGAAGCAACCAATCGATGTGTCTCTCTCACATCCTCTTTCTCTATCTCCCTCCCTCCCTTCCTATTTAAAAATCAATGGAAAAAACATCCCCAGGTGAAGATTAACAAAAAAAGAAACTTAGGGGAAGAATGGATGAGCTCAGTGAAAACTTCAACAAAGAAATAGTATGCATAAAAATAAAAACATAGAAACCATAAAAAAAACACAGTAAAAAAATGAAGGACACAATATTGAAATGAAACATACACTAGAAGAAATCAACAGTAGATTAAATAAATTAGATTAGAGGATCAAATCAGTGATTTGGAAGACAAGGTAGCAGAAAAACTATCAGAGCAGCCTAAAGAAAAAAAATTTTTTTTAATGAGGATGGTTTAAGGGGCCTCTGGGACAACATCAAGCATGTAACAACATCTGCATCATAAGAGTACCAAAAGGAGAAGAGAGAGAGCAAATGATTGAGAAACTATTTGAGGAAATAATGATTGAAAACTTCCCTAACCTGATGAAGGAAAAGAACACATAAGCACAGAGAGTCCCCCCAAGCAAATAATCCAAAGAGGCCCACACCAATACACATCATAATTAAAATGGCAAAGTTTAAAGACAAACAGAGAATCTTAAAAGCAGCAAGAGAAAAGCACTTAGTTACCTACAAGGGAGTTCCCATAATACTGGCAGTTGATTTCTCAACAGAAACATTTTGGGCCAGAAGGGATTGGCATGAAATACTCAAAGAGATAAAAAGCAAGCATCTACAACTAAGACTATTCTACACGCAAGGCTATCACTCTCTAAAATCAATAAAGGAAAAAAAAGTAAATGGATTAAATGCTCTAAGCAAAATATATAGGATAGCTAAATGGATTAATAAAAGAAAAAAAACAAGACCCATATATAGTCTATCTGAAAGAGATCCACTTCAGATCAGAAGACACACAGAGACAGAATGTAAAATGATGGGACAAGATATTTCATGCAAATAAAAACTGGAGTAGCAATATTTAAATCAGACAATATAGACTTTAAAACAAGGGCTATAATATAAGACAAAGGAGACATTACATAATGATAAAGGGATCAATGGAACAGAATAGAGACCCCAGAGGTAAATCCACACCTATATGGTCAATTAATCTTTAACAAAGAAAGCAAGAACATACAATGGGGCAAAGAAATTCTATTCAATAAATGGTGATGAGAAAATTGGACAGATACATGGGGAAAAATGCAACTAGACCACCAATTTACAGCATACACAAGAAACTCAAAATGGATTAAAGACTTAATTGTCACACCCTTGCCAGTTTGGCTCAGCAGTTAAAGCATCAGCCCACAGGCCAAAGACTTAAATTTCAGACCTGAAATCATAAAACTCTTAGAAGAAAACATAGGTAGTAAAATCTCCGATGTTTCTCTTAGCAATTTATTTTGATATCTCCTCAGACAAGGGAAACAAAAGAAAAAATAAACAAATAGACTACATCAAACTAAAAATGTTTGCACTGAAAGGGAAACCAACAATGGAACTAAAAGGCAGCTGACTGAATGGGAGAAGATACTCACCAATGATACATCCGATAAGGGGTTAATATCCAAAAGTTATAAAGTACTCAGATAATTCAACACCAAAAACAAAACAACAACAACAACAAAAAGAACCCAATTAAAAAGTGGACAGAGGCCCTGGCCAGTTTGGCTCAGCGGTTAGAGCATCGGCCTGCGGTCCGGAGAGACCTGGGTTCGGTTCCCGCTAAGGGCACGTACTTCGGTTGCAGTTTGTCCCCGGCCCTGGTTGGTCGTGCAGGTGGCAGCCACTCGATGTGTCCCTTTCACGTCGATGTTTCTCTCTCTCTCTCTCTTCCTCTCTCTCCCTCCCACTCTATCTGTACAAAAAATGGAAAAATGTCCTCGAGTGAGGAAAAAAAAAAGTGGACAGAGGACTTCCGGTCACGATGGCAGCAGAGGTAAACGCAGTGTCGTGTCCTCCCACAACCACATCAAAGTTACAACTAAACTACAGAACAACCATCATTCAAAGCCTCCTGACATCAAGCTGAAAGGAAGTCCTACAACTACGGAATTAAAGCAGCAGCCACATCCTGACTGGTAGGAGGGGCGGACGCAGATGGGCTGGTCCCACACCCACGTGTGGCGGATAAAAATCAGGAGGATACCTCGGCTGGGAAGATCCTCCCTGAGGACTGAGGGGTCCCTGACCCACACCAGGTGCCCAGCTCAGGATTCCAGTGCCAGGAAGAGAATCCCCATCATTTATGGCTGTAAAACCAGTGGGAACTGAGGCTGAGGGAGGCTGAGGGAGGCTGAGGCAGCTGGAGCCCCAGGCAGCTCCTACTAAAGGGTCTGTGTACGGACTTGAACTCACTCCCTCCAGGCTCCAGCATGGGGGAGGGAGGCAGCTTGAAAGGCACCAGAGACGTATGGGGAAGAACTGAGTTGTTTGGCATTGGCGCGAGGACTGGAGAGGTAGCTTCCTCCGGGACAGACATGCTGTCAGAGGTCTTTGTTCCTTTGGTGAGCCCTTCCCTGGGGTGGCAGACAGCTGCCATATCTGGGACCCCAGCAACTTGCCTCACACTGTTTGCCCTGCCCTGGTGATTCCCTGAGGCCCTACCCCACCCAACTTTCAGGCCCACCCACCCTGTTGCCAGTTGCTTTACCACAAGATTGGCCTGTCTTGGATCCTGCTTCAGGTTTTCCTAAATTCTTTCAAACAAGCAGCATCTGGTCTCAGCTAGCCCCATACCTCTCATTAAGTAATACATAGAAACAAACACAGGGAGGCAGCCAAAATGAGGAGACAAAGAAACATGTCCCAAATTAAAGAAGAGAACAAAACTCTAGGAAAAGAACTAAATAAAATGGAGATAAGCAACCTAACAGATACTGAGTTCAAAACACTTCTTATAAGGATGCTCAGTGAACTTAGTGAGGGCCTCAAGAGCATAAAAAAGGACCAGTCAGAAATAAAGGAGGCACTAACTGAAATGAAGGATAATTTACACAGATTCATTAGTAGAGTAGGTAAAGCCAAGAAGCAAACCATTGATTTTGAATATAAGGAAGCAAAAAACACCCAATCAGAACAGCAAAAAGAAAAAAGAATCCAGAAAAATGAGGATAGTATAAGGAGCCTCTGGGACAACTTCAAGCATGCCAACATTCGCATCTTGGGGGTGCCAGAAGGAGAAGAGCGAGAACAAGAAACTGAAAACCAGTTTGAAACAATAATGGCAGAAAACTTTCCTAACTTGGTGAAGGAAACAGACATACAAGTCCAGGAAGCACAGAGTCCCAAACAAGATGAACCCCAAGAGGCCCACACCAAGACACATCATCATCAAAATTCAAAAGGTTCAAGACAAAGAGAATCTTAAAAGCAGCAAGAGAATAGCAGTTAGTTACCTACACGGGAGTTCCCATAAGACTGTCAGCTGATTTCTCAAAAGAAACTTTGCAGGCCAGAAAGGAGTGGCAAGAAATATTCAGAGTGATGAAAAGCAAGAACCTGCAACCAAGATTACTCTATCCTGCAAAGCTGTCATTTAGAATCGATGGCCATATAAAGCATTTCCCAGACAAGGAAAAGCTAAAGGAGTTCATCACCACCAAACCATTATTATATGAAATGTTGAAGGGTCTTCCTGAAGAAAAATATAAAAAATATTAACAAACAAAATGGCAATGAATACATATCTGTCGACAACTGAATCTACAAACAAAATGAACAAGCAGAACAGAAACATTCTCATAGATACAGAGAACATTTTGTTGGTTGCCAGATGGGAGGGGGTTGGGGGAATGGGTGAAAAAGGTGAAGGGATTAAGAAGTACAAACTGGTTGTTAGACTGACAAACCTCAAAGGGAAGGGGGTTTAGGGGATGGGAAGAATAAACCAAAGAACCTATATGTGTATATATATATAACCAGTGGACACAGACACGTGTGGGGAAAGGCAGGAGGGGGGCCGGAGAGGGGAGGAGGTAGTCAATGGGGGGAAATTGAGGAACATCTGTAATACATTCAACAATAAAGATAAGTTAAAAAAAAGAAGAAGAGGACCAGAATAGACACTTTTCCAAAATAGATACACCAGACATATGTCTACGGCCAGACGTATGAAAAGATGCTCAGTGTCACTAATGATCAGAGAAATGCAAGTTAAAACTGTGCTGTAATTAGAACTTGCGGAGGAGGGTGTGAGTCTGAAGCCAGGGCGCTGGAGGAAGCACTCCTGAGGCTCTAGCCAGCGCAAGCGCCATGCCAGGAGGGGCTGCAGAGGCCTCCCTGCGCAGGCGCCATGCCTGGGGTGCTGCAGAGGCCTCCCTGCGCAAGCGCCATCCCAGGAAGGGCTGCAGAGGCCTCCCTGCGCAAGAGCCATGCCAGGAGGGGCTGCAGGGGCCTCCCTGTGTGAGGCAAGGACCCAGTGCAGGCCAGGCGGATGTGAGCACTGCGTCGGGCATACGGGTCATGGCGTGGGTTTAGATATTACCCTGGACGAAAAGGAAACCCGGGAACGTGTGTTATTCAGAAGAAACCAGAATCACATTGCGTCTGCCAGAGCTCAATCCAGCTGATCTATGGAGAGAGGATATATCCCTAAAGGCACAGGCGGTCCATTTTTGTAACTATCACAAATTGAAATCACCCATGTAACTATCATAATCACCCATTGAAAGAAAACTAGGAGCTAATCCACCAATGTTCATTAAATGAATTCATGTGCAATACAGTCGTTCATTCCCACAACTGGCACAGTCTGGCTACAAAAGGCTGACCCCACCAAAACTAGGGATGAGAGCACTGTCAGCCACACACATGGCACATCTCTGAGCTCTGTCCTCCCAGAGGAAAGAGTATCAGCTCCCTCCCATTCATCTCACGTCACCCCCTCCCCTTCCTCTGGTCATCTCCATTAGGAGCTCCATTAACACAGGGACAGAAGCAGAAAGTCCTCTATTCCCATGACAAAAGATATACACTCCCCAAATTTCTTTGGAATCCAGCTGAGGACCGGGGAGAGGGCGGGGAGTGGGGCTGTAGTCTTCTTCAAGCCTCCTATCCTCAATGAACACTAGGTGCACAGGTTAGGGGAAGGTGGTCATGGCAGGCAAAGAGGCTAAGACTCTTCATCTCTAAGATGTCCTTACCTGCAAACGATGAAGGTACCTAAAAGAATCCTTCCCAAACGAGTTTATATTGATGGTGGCCAGCACTGTAGAAAAAATGGAGAGATGCTGCATGAGACTGTGACAAGTGCTGTGGGGAAGGACAGAGGCCACACCCTGCACAGGAAAGGAAGCTGTGTTGAGTGGTAGGCATAATGAGATACTACTCATATCCCATGTTGCAACAGGCATAGGGCTGTCACTGGACATTTGCAAGGGCACCGTTAGGTAAGAAGGACAGTTAAAATTAACCCTATTTTGTGCAAAGAAATGGAACAGGCCAAGGTCACTCAACTTGATTAGACCTAGGAATTGAATGCAGGATTCCTGATACAGTGTGGTGATAGCCAGAGGGAAAGGGTAGTGGGGGTAGGTAGAGGCAGGCAAAGGGGGAGAAGGGAGGGGAACTGGGTCGATGAGTGCACTATGCAGTGTGCAGATGATGTTTTGTTGAGTTGTACACTTGAAACCTGTATGGTTTTGTGAACCAATGTCACCCCAATAAATTCAAGTAAAAATAAACAAACAAAAAAATGGAAAGGTGTACTGGGGACAGAAGAGCTCCCTTAGAGCTCTGTTGAGCAAGGAAAATGATGGAGTTGCCAAGTGAACTCTTCACTTGGACCTCGAGTTCTCATAATAGTAATATTACATCTCTAGGGCCCACTTCAATGTACGTGGCAAAGAGAGGCAGCGGAGATATTCTTGGTTCTTTCTGATGATTGTTCAAGATTCAGACTGGCAGGTTAGAAGCCTCAGTTCTCCCTCAGAATAAGTCTAAACGTGTACCTCCTTCTATGCTGCCTCGGTGCACTTCCTTCTCCCCATCTGAGGTCAAGAGCATCTCCATAATCCCTCTTTCCAGCAGAGCCTGTTGGGAAAACTGGACGAAGTGAGCCCACTTTTCTGTCTCCTTGGGAAGAAGGAATTAGGAAGTAAATACAACTGGGCCAAGATGGACAGTGTGTGAACTAGAGAAAAAGGTTTGAATTGAGTCTGACCACCCACAGCTCTGTCCCAGTCCGGTGTCTTTCCCAGCTGAGTCTGGGCTCTGACACCCCTGGTCACAGCCTCAAGGGGGAAAGCACAAGGCTACATTTATGAGAAAACACCCTGAGGGAGGACCTGAATCTGAGAAAAAGAGAAAGAAGACTCAGGAAACTCTATACTTGAAGGGGAGAGGCAGAGGCTATGGGGCCCTAAGGAAGATCAGAGAGAAACTTCACAAATTTGAGTCCTACCTGGACACTCAAAAGAAGCCAGGAAGCCTGCCATGGCTTTGGAAAAGGGGATCTAATTAAACACTCATATTTACTAAGGACAGAAGAAGCAGACAGATGACCGGAGAGCAAGAGGGCCCTATCTGTGGGTTACGTGTTCGCTGAGCCCTAGCTGGAGCTGGGAGCAGAGTTGAATGGCAGATTTTAAACATCAAGGAAAAATAATACTCCCAAACGAGACAGAGTCGAAGGGGTCTGATGAGATGCCCCTGAGAAACCTTAGGGAGGGGAATTTCTCACAGACCTGTCCAGCTCCAGAAGCCGCAGGTGCAGGGCAGGAACCGGGATATCTGTGGAGCCCAGCTCTGCTCCTCCCCCTCTCATTACCCAACTGCTCTTCCCTGCCCACCTGCCAACTCCGGCCACTGCTTCCCAGGCCAGCCCACTCAGGCTTCTGCGACCCTGGGACCCTGCATCCGGCTCAGCAGCCTAGGGAGGGATCCCCTTTAGGTGAGAGCTCATCGGCTTCCTGGACTTGGGGAGTCAGGGACAGGGAGGAGCCTCATGCACCAAAGACACCAGGCAGGACTGCAGTTATTCTGGCCTGAGATAGCCCACATGAAAGAGCAAAGGCAGCAGAAGCAAGAATATGAGCACTGCAGGTCCGAAGCTGCAGGACGGGCCGTCGTCACCACGTTCCCGAAGCATTCTTCATTTGCCACTCGCCGACCTCAGCTTTCATGAGAACTGTGGGTCGTGGAGATCTTTTAACGTCACATTCATCTCAGAATGAAGTTATTTCGGTGCATGTCAATCACCCTGACCACACTGTGGATTCACAGAGAAACTGAACTTCATCTCGTATATGCGCATGACCCACAGAACCTCACGGAGTCTGGCAGGAGACACAGCCACGCGTGCTGTGAAGGGGACAGCCTGGGGAAGGAAGCATGGACTATGGACACGACCCATGTGTTTCGTACCTTTTGAAGATAAGGCATGTATTTCCTGTCCTTGTAAAAGGAACCATATTCGTTCTCCACCTGCACTGCAATGATGGGGCCTCCCCTGCGGTACTGAGACAAAAAGAGAAAGGGGGTGCAGGTGGAAAAGCCTGGAGTTGGGGTCTGCTGCTCAGTGTCAGAGCTGGTGCAGGACCCTTGCTGTTTCCTCACCTCAAGGCCCTCTCTGTCCTCTCCCCAGCTCTGTGGTCAGAGTCGCCTCCAGGCACTTCAGCTGCTACAAGGAGTCCCTAGTCTTTGTAACAACACACCTCGTTTTCCCTCTACTTCTCATACTAATTGGCCACTTAAGTAGGAGAGTGCATACCTGCAAACTCACCTGCTTCCATGTCCACCCCATCCACCTTCCCACCCTCCTCCTCCGCCAAGGGGAGCGCCCTGGGGAGAGTCCCTGCCTCCCAGCAGCGCTCAGGCCGTGGCTCTGGCTGTGCCCACTCCCTCTGGTACTTACAACCTTTCTTCCCAAACTGACTGGCGTCCACCTTCCTGGAACTTACCCGAGAGAGCACACTCAGAGCTGTTCCCTCCACCATAATCTTGCTCTCTCCTTTTCCTTTTTTTTTGATCTTTGTGACTATTTCTTTTTTTTCTTTTTTCTTTTTCCCAATTACAGTTGATGTTCAATATAATGTTAGCTTCAGGGGTGCTCTCTCCTCCTCAGAGCCTGCGTCTTGAAGGAGGAGCCGGTCTGCACTTCTGTCTCACTTTCACCCCACTGCTCAAACCACTGCTAGGGCTCCCGCCCGGCACGCCGCCTAAGCCATCCATGACCCAGCTGTGTGAGACCATAACACTCTTCCCATGAACTTGATCGGCCAACGTGTTCCCACGCTCGGGTCAGCTCTCTGCTTGGAGGGCCCTCCACACTGAGAGCGGAGCGAGCTCTGGGCCGCACGGCTGGTCGCTGCGTCCTCCGTGCTCAGGCTCCGCGGCCTCCCAGTCCACGCTCCCTTTAGAGATGGTCCCTTTCGGACAGAGGCACACGAGCTTCTGAGTTGGCACAGAGAAGAAGGAGCAGCCTGGTGGACTTCCCTTCACAGCACCCCGCCTCGCCTTCTGCCTCTCTCTCCCTCACACTCGGCTCCAGCCCAACTGGACGTCTTATTCTTCAAACCCCTCATTCTACCCCTTGCCACCTGGTCTGCACCCACTCTGGAGACTCCTGACCACCCCCCTGGCCTGGCTAACGCTTGCTCTCCCTTCAGATCACTGTGACTTGGAAACACACTTCGAGCCCCCCTCGCCCACACTTCCTCCACTGCGCAGTCACCACTTGTGTTTGCTTTCATGTTGGGCTGTAAGCCCCGTGGGGCAGGCACCGTCTGTGCTTAGCTGCTACACAGTGCTTGGCACATAGTAGTTGCTCAGTAATTATTGGTTGAATGAACATAAATATTCTGAGCTGATGAACTGAGAACAATTGTTTATATCATTGAAGAGTATCTCTCCCTACCCCAAAGGGTGAGATTTCTAAAAACCCCATAGTAGGAGAATCCAGTTAACCTTATGAAATGAATGGGATTAGAGGAATAAATATCACCAGTAAAACAGTAAATACACTCTAAAAATTATTTAAATATCACAATTGAAACAATGAAGATTAATCAAATTGAAAGACCTTAAAATCCTAATAATTTAGTAATGATAACCCCTATACATTTCATTTGCACTTAAAATCTTCTGTTTCTTAAAACTTTCCTAAAGCGAAACAAGTCAATCAGAGAAAGACAAATAATCACATGATCTCACTTATGTGTGGAATATAATGAACATAACAGTCTGAGGCACAGGGTAGACCCAGAGATGTGGAAGTGGGGTACAGACTGACAATCCTCAAAAGAGGGGGTGGGGGGGAGATAAACCACAGAACTTATTTGCATGTGCGCATAACTGATGGACAGGGACAACAAAGCTGGGGACCAGGGTGGGAGGGGCAGGGGGGTGGGGAGGAGGGTGTCAATGGGGAAAAAAGGAGAAACATCTGTAACAAAAATAAATTAATAATAAAAAAAAACTTTCCTAGAATTTCCCACCTCATGATTTCACTGGAAGTTTACACATTTGCTTTGCCTGCTGGATCTACACGAGGGCTAAGCAGCATCAATACTTGTTCCTGAACTTCCAGCCAAATATTCTGGGACTTTCTGGTTTTAAGGGTCAGAGATTTTTCCTGCCACCGAGTCCCACCTCAGTTGCAGAAATGAAGCCAGAAACACATGGCTTTAGCCCTTTCTTAACAAGGATGAACCTGGACTCCACCGAACAGACTGAGATTCAATCCTACAGACAAGGTCTTCTCCCTCAGCACCGCTCATGTCTCCCCAAGTCGTATTGCTTTATTTCCATGTCTAATGTCTCGTTGCTTCTCTGTACAATGATCCTGATAAGAGTAACTAAAATTCAGAATTCAGAATTATTTATAAAGAGCTGGATCTGCCGCATAATTTCCCCCCAAAAGAAGAGGCAAAGATAATAAATTATTAGTCTCCTACCTAAAAATCCTGGTTTTTATCCCATCTCAAGCCACATCAAGAGATGTTCTTAAAATAACATGTATGCTTTAAATAATCACCATGTGCTCCTCTTGTTTGGAAGAGAGCTTTATTTTTTTAAAAAATCAAACACAACGATCAAACAACTGCTGCCCTGCAGACCCCAGGGCACAGCGCTCCCTCCTGTCACAGGCTGCTCTGAGCCACAGAAGGACATTGCGAAAACAGAGGCATTTTTGTCAAGTACACAATGTCCAGGCAGCCCAGGAGGAAAGAGAAGTGCGTGGCCTCTGTGCCCTTTGCATCTGTGACCCTAAAACAAATTGGGATGCGCATACTAACAAACATATTCACACAGGCCCAAAAACGACCTGCGCGAGCCAAGTCATTCATCATAGCTTAAACTCGCAGAATCCAGTGCCCACGACAAGGGCATTAAGTGACGCTTGATGTATTTATATCATGAAATACTTTGCAGTCATCAAAAGGAATGGCAAGTTTCAAAAATATATTTTCAAGTGATGAAAGAAAAATGTTCAGTGAGAATTGTATATTTTAGTATAAAAAAAATATACATACACGTGTAGTCTGGTGAACTGGTTGGTTCCTGAGGAGGTAACTGAAGAGCTCCGGGTAGGGAGGAGCAGACTTTAATTTGCCATGACCTCCTCTGAACTCTTTGGGCTTTTCACCAAGCTGTGTATGTTTCAAACAGCAAAGATATTTACGAGAAGACAAATGAGTCTAGTGAGATCAAATATATTCAAAAGAGTGGTAACCACACACACAGGCTTTCTGTCAGTCCTGGCTACTGTGACCTGTGTCCTCCCAGCAGCCCCGGGGCAAAGGCCCAGCTGAAGATGAGGGTCTAGAGTTCAAGGCCACAGGAGTGGCAGCGTCTGCAAAGACGCCCTGGGCCTGGCTGTTCTGCGGACAAGTCAGAATCAGTTGTTTTCCTGAAGCGAATGTAAGAAGGAAGGAAGGGTGGGTACTTTGGCTTTACCTGGAGAGGAACCACTCTGGCAATCAGATGATCAAAATATCGATCAACTGCCTGAATAAAGCCCTTTTCGGTGGTTCTCAGTTTCACGCTGGGGTCCTGCAGCAGCCAGCTGGGGATGAAGGAGACAAGCTCAATGTTTGAGACGGGAACACAGGAGGCAGGACGGCCAGGCTGGGGCGTGCAGGACAGTTTTACTGTGCTGGTCTCATGCGGCACTCAGGGTCCTGGAAGACTGCTCTGTGGGCCCCCTTACAGAGCTGCCAGGTCCACAGGGGTCACAGAGACAGGGCAATGCAGGGGGTGCTGCCCCACCGTGGCTGCACACCCACACCTTACTGCGAGGTTTGACCCTTCCGTTGAACACTAGCCTACAGTCTTCTTCAGTTCATTAAAAATCTGTTTCATGAGCTCTGGGCAGGTGGCTCAGTTGGTTGGAGCATTGTTTCCTACAACAAAAGGTTGAAGCATCGATTCCAGTCAGGGCACATACCTAGGTTGTGGGTTCGATCCCTGGTATACAGTCAGGGTGCTGGGACACATACAGGAGGCAACCAATCCATGTTTCTCTCACACTGATGTCTCTCTCTCTCTCTCTCTCCCTCCCTCCCAGAGGTCCTCAGAAAAAGTCCGGATGTTGTCAGACCCCTCCCTCTGCTCTCGAAAGTTTCACTTGCCATCCTTCCACCACAGGAGAAGGGCATGGCCCACGGCCCACGGCGCACAGCCCACGATGCACGGCCCACCACCAGACTCTCGTGTCATGCGTCCGCGCTGCGAGGATCACAGCGGTGCCCAGAGCTCGCCGTGTCACTGCAAGCATCCCCCGAGAATATGTGCTCAGTGCTGTCAGAGTCCAGTTTTACTTTAGTCAAATAAATGTCTCACCACAACCATAACCTCCCACTCGCAGTCCCGCTCACCTGGGCAAGCCCCCGAGGTCGATCTCGCTGCAGATGTAGGGGCCTGGACGCAGAATCACCCACAGCCCCGTCTCCGCCGCCAGCAGGACAAAAGCCCTAGGAAGATAGTGTCAGCAACTCTCAGGACCTCCCAGCGCAGGGTGGACGAGCCCGGCGCACATCGCAGGTGGTAGGACTCCCCGGATCCTCATCCTCCCTCCTCTCAGACAGGGGGTGAGGGAAGGGAAGGCCGAGCCCCTCCCCCCAGCAGAGCAGGTAATCCTACACCTGCGGTCATAGGCCTGAGGCCCTGGCAGCTGGGTTCTCACCAGCTCCCAACCTAGGCCCATCTGCACAGCCCACTGGGTCATGAGGAAGAAGGGTGTCACACAGGGGACTGGGGTCCTAACAATAAACCCGACCCCAAGAGCCTTGCTACCCTCCAGGGGCAACCCCTGTCCCAGCATGGGTGGCTGGACCCCACTGCAGAGCAGGCTGACCCGGGACCAGGCTCCTCTGGGCCCTGAGGAGGGTGGGGCTCAGAGGAGGCAGCCTGGACACCTGGGAGTCACAGGTTCACAGCTGGAGGGCATCTGGTCCTGGGCAGACCTGTCCCCCGGTCTCCCTCTGGTTCTCCAAGCAGAGCTGAGATGCCAGGACGGTCCCTAGTCAACCCCCGCCGGCCCCTCCTGCCGCCCAGGCCCAGGCTGGTCACAGAAGCAGCAGCAGCAGCAGCACGTACTCCAGATCCAGGTTCCCGAAGAAGTCGAATGTGCCTCTTTGTGGCTCATGGAGGTTCCATGGCACGTAGCTGTGACAGGAAAGAGGGGAATACAATGAGCCTCTTCTTTTTTTTTTTTATCCTCACCCGAGGACATTTTTTCTTTTTTTTGTTCAGATAGAGTGGGAGAGAGAGAGAGAGAAACATCGATGTGAAAGGGACACATCGGGTGGCTGCCACCCACATGACCCAGCCAGGGCCGGGGACAAACTGCAACCGAGGTACATGCCCTTAGCGGGAACCGAACCCAGGTCTCTCTGGACCAAGGCCCTATCTCTTGACAACGCTCTAACTGCTGAACCAAACTGGCCAGGGCAATAAGCCTCTTCTTATCTCTGTCCTATAAAGTCCTGGGTCAGTCCCAAACCCATGCCAAAACCTAGGGTAGTTCTATCCTGGAACAAGTTGAAATTTCCAAAGGCAATTAAACCAGCATTATATGAACAATACTTTTCTTTAATATTTTTTCTTTATTGATTTATAGAGAGAGAGGAAGGGAGAGGGAGAGATAGATACAAACATTGATGACCAAAAAAATTGATTAGCTACCTCCTGCATGCCCCCCACTGAGGGTTTGGCCCACATCTTGGGCATGTGCCTTGACTGGGAATTGAACCAGCAACCCCTTGGTGCATGGGTCAACGCTCAACCAGTGAGCCACACTGGCCAGGCAATAATCATTTTCAATAAACAGTTTATTTCTCTACTACCCAGTTGTGGTCCAAGCTGTCAATAATTCTGATTCTAGATTCCTTGGATTTATACATTAATTATTCTTCTCACCACCAATTCTCTGTAATAGCCATTGAAAATGTAAAGAAAAGGTGAAAACACAAATATCTACATATGCCCAATAAGTTATTGCTAGGCATTAATCAAAATCAGAATAGAGGAGGAGTTTCAATAAGATAATGGACATATAGTAAAGAAAGGGGTCATCTCTGGACCTATCCACAGTCATAATGAGAAGACTTAAAATACTTCTCTAAGAGATAAAGAAAATAACAGCAAAAAATTGTAAAGATATAGATTTGAACAACACAATTGAAAGGCTGGATCTAGTAAATACATAGAGAATTCAGCAGCCAAACAATAGAGCATATTCATTCTCAATAAGTACATGGAACAGTTATAAAATACAAATCCCAAAAATCTTCGTTACATGGTCTGTGATCCCAAAACAAATGCAAATAAATTAGATATTTACACTTTTTTTTTTAAATCCTCACCCGAGGACACTTTTGCATTTATCTTCAGATAGAGTGGGGGGTGGGGGGGAGACAGAGAAACATTGACATGAGAAAGACACATCGACTGGTTGCCACCCACACGCCTCAGTTGGGGCCGGGGACAAACTGCAACTGAGGTATGTGCCCTTAGCGGGAACTGAACCTGGGATTCTCTGGTCCGCAGGCCAACGCTCTAATCTCTGAGTCAAATTGGCCAGGGCACACTTTATTTTTTTTTAATACGTTTTCATTCATTTGTTTAAGAGGTAGGAAGGGGAAGAGGGAGAGAGAGAGAGAGAGAGAGAGAGAAACATCAATCAGCTGCCTCCTGCAGGTCCCCTACTGGGGATGGAGCCTACAAACCAAGTATATGCTCTGACCAGGAATCTAACCTGAGACCTCTTGATGCACAGGATGATGTTCAACCAACTAAGCTATATAAATAAAACAGCAAGCATATAGCTGAAATGTTTGAAACCAAATGACTTTCAAAGTCTATATAGTAAAATGGGTGCTATATATATATCCAAAGCAATATTTAGAGGTTCACTCATAGTCCTGAATAAATATATTACAGAACTCAAAATGAGCTAAATATTCAACTCAGGAGACAAAGGGAGGAAAAGGAGAGGGAGGGGCAGAGAAAGATGGTACTAAATGAAATAAAGTAGAAGAAAGAAAACTATATGTAACTCAGAAATTGTGAAATAGAAAATAAAAAGGTGCAGAGAAGATTAACAAAACTATAAACTAATTTTTTTGAAAAGACTAAAAATTTAGATGATATTAAACAGAAAAAAAAAGATAAAAAGCCTCAAATTCACAAATTCGCTGGGGATGGAGCCTGCACACCGAGTATATGATATATAATTTCCAAGAAAGAAAGAAAGGAAAAATTTTTAAATCCCAGAATAGAAAAAAATTTATAGAATAATATACTCTAGAAGCAATTTAAAACATGAGTTAAATAATAACTTTTTAAGAAAGTTATATTGTCCCAAAAATCTTCCCTTCACAACCACAAAAGATAGTAGCTGCTAAGTTTTACAGGTGAATTTTAGGGAACATTCAGGGTAAAAATCCTTTTTGCAAAATATTTTCAGTGAATATAAAAAGAAGATATAGCCACTTGAGGTTACTATAAGATTAATATAAAAACTGGATAAGACACTAACATAAATAAAATTTTAGATCAATTTCAGTGATATATATATATGTCTGAAATAAAAACACTAGCAAATCGAGTCTAGCAATGTGTGTGTGTGTGTGTGTGTGTGCGTGTGTGTGCACGCGCGCGTCTCATAACCAAACAGAATTTACCCTAGAGCTGTGCATTGTCTGACTATCAGGGAAATTGTCAATATAACTTTCACAAAAGATTGATTAACAATCACATAATCCCATCAATAGATGCAGAAAAGTCTCTCAATAAAACAATTATTTATGATTAAATTATCTGCAAATTAGATGTGCCAGTTATCAATTTTACTGCTTCTCAGCTTCAAATTCATCCTCTGCGATATGGAAGGGCCCTTGAAGCCTTTTCTTCTTTACAGTGAATAAAATATTTATCTTTGACACAAGAGGGCAGCGGAGAGACATTGAAGAGGAAAGGGGCTCTTGGTTGCTGCGCATTTTTTCTCCGTGGTCTCGCTGTAGGGCTGGTTAGTGGTGTGTGAAAACATTTAGCAGACCTTTCTTTTTTGAAAATTCAATACATTACAAGTATAATCCATAAGAGCCCATGTAGAATTAACCCAGGAAGGCAAGGAAACTTAAATACAGGTTGTGGCAGAAGTCAATTTACAGTTGTTCATATGGAAAATAATACGATCATTAATAAATGACAACAGAAGAACAAACTGTGTTTCACGGACTCGTAACTGCAAACCTTGTAGTACAGATGTAAAACATGACATCCATGCCCCACCGTGTTTTGCTGCCACCTTCGGCTCTTGCCCCTTCCATATGGTAAGCCTGCGCTTTGGGACAGCCTTTACTCTTTCCTGATGTTAACTAAGAAAATCCCACAGCCTGACCATGAAAACAACAGGCCTTTCCAATTGCTGGTGACCACCGTCTAGCCGAGAAGCAGAGGAATACTGTCTGCAACCTGAGATGACAAGCTGCCCTGGAAGGCGCTCTGCCCTGACCGGACGTCACAGCAGGGGCTGCAGAGCTGTGAGCATATCCCATCTCTGAGCAGGCCCCCAGCTGCGGGAGGCACTGGGCCGTGCAGCAGCTGGGCCTAGAGTCTGGCACCTCCTCTGTCACCAGCTGCGTGGGTTTGGGGAAAGCACCTTCACTTCCCTTCACCTGAGTCTTCTCAGTGGGGTGAACGCTGCACACCACAGGGCTGCTGAGGACAAAGTAAGTTCGTATTTTCCAGAGCCGAGAACATGTCTGGCTGTCTAAATACCACATACATGTAAACTGGCAGTCTTACTTTACAATGGCAGACATAGTGAAGTCAGTGTCTGTGTGCTGACAAGGGCAGGGTCGCTAAGGGTGGGCTTCCTGCCCCTCCTCTCTCCTTCAGGAGCACCCTTCCCATAGGCTCACCACGAGGCAGCCTTCCCAGAATGCCTTTCCTTTGGGCTCCCCTTCAATTCACCTTTAGTGACTCCCAATCTTTTTAATAAGTCTGTTATGAAGGGAACTCCATGGTTCTTAATTCAAGTTCTATTCTTGCTTTGGGAGAGGTTTTTATTTGACTAGTCCTGTGGGTACAGGCAGGAGCCTCTGCTCTGTGTGTGGGGTCGCACCTCAGGCCGCTGCTGGGAGGAGATGCCCATCTGAGCAAGCTGGGCCCTCTGTGCCCATCTCACAGGGCACTTGTGCAGATTAGGTGATTTTGTGAAAATGCTCAGAAAACGCCCAGCCATCAGTTTTGTCACTGTGTGCATGCGCATGTCAAACATCATGCTAAATTCATCATGTTAAATTTACATTTAATCATGCCAAATGTATATTTAAATTCTTCTGCTGGACTAAACTGGGCTTATATTTCTTTTTGCCACCATAATTCAAGTACATGTATGTGCCATCATTGTGACAGGGATTTCTCATATAAATAAGATCAAGGTTTTATCTCATTTAATGAACACAACCTTATGAGGCTATCATTACTGTGCCTATTTACGGAAGAAGACCGCAGGGCCCTGCCACGTGATGGCTGCAGGCAGAGGGACTGAAGACTAGGGCTGCCATCACCCGGCTACAGCATTCATTCCCGTTACTCCATTAAAGTTCAGTTTAGTGATACCAGTATTTCCCTACATGTTCATTTTGACACTCCTATCATCCCCCTTCGTGTTCATTTCCATATACAAGAGAATTGTAGTAAGTCTGAGATGTACGCGACCCCTAGCAGAAAGGCACATACTGGACATGGCTACTCAGACGGTCAGTCCTCATGCCAGACTCCCCAAACCAGCTCTGAGCGCACAGATGCTGCAAAGCCCTGAGGGGCAGCAAGGTCACAGAGGGCAGGGCAGCACTCACGTGGTGACAGTGTTGAAGCCACAGGCCCTCAGCTTCTGCAGGCGGTCCCTCCAGTACTCCCTGGGCACCCGGAAATAGTGGATGGAGCCCCCACAGATCAGGAACTTGTGCCCCTCCAGTGTGAAGTGTGGTTTACCACAAGCTGTGCTTGCAGTCTGAAGTCCCACAGACCGATCCTTCAGCTCGAGAGGGGTCAGATGAGACCAATTAAACCTTTTTACGAGAAAGAGAGACAGAGGTGGGAGAGGGACGGCTGAAGCCCGGCGGAGAGCTCAGCAGGGCGCGCTCTGCGCATGCTCCTGATGTTCTTTCCTCCAGGGAGGGCGAGTTCCCCGCTCTCCCTGCTCAGCCAAACCTGTGCGGTTGCAGCGGCAGCCCTGCTTCTTCTAAGAGACAGTCCTTGTTATAATTTTGCCGAGGAATAAAACCTGATGAGATAAACGGCAGGAAAAAGATGCTCATCATTCTTTTCCATGAGAAACATGGGCTGAAAAGAGAAAGAAATAACAATGACAAGGGGAAGGCACTGGCCTCGCCCAGCTCATCGGACTCTAAACCCTAGAGGCAGGTGCACAGGGCACAGGGACGCTCCGGCACACTCAGGGCTCCTAGGCCAGCCTCGTGCAAGGAAGGCTGAGGCTTTGCCGGTCCGCCCAGCACGCCCCCCCCCCCTGCTCCCCCAGCCCCCCTCCCCCGCGACCCCCTCTCCCACGGTCCACCTCCGGACAGAACGCTGGGGAAAGACTGTCAGTCCTAGAAGCCTCTGTCAGGAACAGGGCTGGGCACTGGGGAGAGGTCCTGGGGAAAGTGGAGGCGGGCTCAGGGGCTCAGTGACTGCTGTCACCACCTCCGCCAGGAGGGGCGGTGGACAGACGCTGCGCGGGGCGGGCAGAGCTAAGGTATGGGTAGGAGAAAGCTGGAGGAGAGAAGGCTTGTAAGGCTGCTGATAAGATGAGTCCCAGGCAGGTCGAAGGGTCCGGGAGGGCGTCCCAGGGCAAAGGATCCCTTGCCCCACTTATAGCGCGATGAGCAGCAGCGATGATTACCTGAAGCGAAGCGGGGAACTCATCACCGCGACCGAGCGAGGTCAGGGCACGGAGGTCCCGCGCTGCTCCCGCCGCCTCCCCGCAGGGCGACCAGATGGTTCCCGTGCTTTGCTCACAGGGAGCCTGGGACCTGAGAGCCGTCACTGCAGCCCAGCACGGAGTCCACGGAGTCCACGGAGTCCGGGGGCTGCCAAGCAGGGCCAAGGAACAAGTCTGGGCTCCGGGCAGCGAGGACAGAGCTCCGCACCCGACCCAGGGTGCTGAACCGCCTGCGCACAGATGTCTTTCAGCCTAGGAATAAACGCCCTGACCTTGAGTTTCTTTACACTGTGTCACCAACCAATTGAGACCAAAGGCAAACGTGAGTAGGAGGAAAGGAGGACAACTTAGCCATGTACCAGAAAGCAGGGGCGTTTTGATTCAGCAGGTTCAGCAACTTTAGCAAGGGTTTGGTTCCAGATAGCGCTTTAGGCTAACAGGTGGGCCATGCTCACAATGAAATCGTTTTCAGTAGATGAGTAAGCGCTAAGATAAAAAGTCCACAGGTGCAATGGACATACAACGTGAAGGGCGCTGGCTGTCTTGAGGAATAGTTTTCTCAACTGAATGTTGATAAATGAGTGAGAACTATCTGAGCGAAGAAAAGCAGAACGCTGTTCCTATCAGTGAGAAGAGTTTCCAGTATTTACATTACAAGTATGTGCAAGAACTACAGTGTGGAATTCTTTGGTTACAAAGTAGCAGGAAATGGGGCTGGAGAGATCAGATCTGGAGGAGGCAGGTCAGGGAAGACTGTGGAAGCAAAGCTAAGCAGTCTTTTCCTAGAGATTTCAAGCAAAAACTAAGTCAGTATTTAGCTTTATGGAGATAACTTGGCTGCAAGAGGGAGGCTAGATGGGAAACAGTCAAGTCATCTGAACAGACCTGGTGATGCAAGGATGAGGGCTAGAATTGATCTCCTGGTAGCAATAGTAAGAAAGAAGAGGGAGTGGATTCAAGAAAAAAATGTCAGCCCCGCTGGGGTGGCTCAGTGGATGGAGCATCATCCCATGGACTGAGAAGTCCCGGCTGGATTCCTGGTCAAAGCACATGCCCGGGTTGTGGGCTCCATCCCCAGTAGGGGGCGTGCATGAGGCAGCCCACTGATATTTCTCTCACATCAATGTTTCTTTATCTCTCTCTCCCTGCCTCTTTCTCTAAAACATCAATTAAAAAAGAAAGAAAACAATTTTTCAGGTGAAATTGGTAGCTCTTGAAAGTTTATTAGATAAGGCAGGTGACAGAGAGAGCAGACTACAGGATGACCAACATGCTTCAGGCTTAAGTGACTTGGGTAGAAGATGGTGACATTTATTGAAATCAGAAACTCAGGAAGGGATAGAGTTTCAACAGAGGGAGAAGAGCAATGGACCCAGTTTGGGCATGCTGGATTTGAAGTTTCTGTGATGAAGATGAAGAGAGATCTTCTGAGCTTTTCTTTTGAGGCCTTTGCTTCTCTTCTCCCAACTGAGAGAAAACAAAGCCTGTGACATCAGGTTGAAATCAAGGCCACGGATTTTAGAGAATAGTGTGGGGGTTTTTTCTCTTATCCCACTCATTCTAGGTATACTCCTTCCTTGAAACCTCAGCTTCCTGAAAATATTTTAGACTATCCATCTTTTTCTCATTCAAAGGTTGGAAGCAATAGACTTTTTTTTTTTTTTTTTTTTTTTTTTTTTTTAGGGAGAGAGAGACAGAAACGTCTATGAGAGAGACATATCAATCAGCTGCCTCCTGCACACCCCTCACTGGGGATCGAGCCCACAACCCAAGCATGTGCCCTGACTGGGAATCAAACCAATGATCTCTTGGTCCATGGGTCAGTGCTCAATCACTGAGCACACTGGCTGGGCGGAAGCGATAGACTTTTGCAACTTTTTATATCTAATGCAGACACATAATATTTAACTTCTTTGAACATACCTTGTTTAAAAAATTTGGATTGCTAGCCACAAAACTTCATTCTTCTTTTTTCAAGATTTTTTTAACTGTTCCAAGATCTGTGCCTGTTTATATAAAATTTAGAATAAGCTTACCTATTTCTACAGAAAACCAGGCTAAAATTTTGATAGGAATTGCATTAGACCCCTAGATCTAATTGGGGAGAATTGATGTCTTTACTATGTTGAGTCTTCAAATCCATGAGCATGCTATGTCTCTTCATTTATTTAGGTCTTCTTTCACTTTTTTAAATCAGAATTTTGTGGTTTTCAACATACAGATCCTATACAAATTTTATTAGGTTTATAACTCAGAATTTCATTTTCTTTTGAGCAATTTTAAGTGGTATTATATTTTTAAGTTCAGTTTCAGCATGTTCATTGTTAGCATATAGAAATGCAATTGCATTTCTTATTTTGATTTATATTCTGTGAACTAGGTAAACTGAGTTATTAACTCTAAGAAGTTGTTTTAGAAACTGAAAATCCACTCCTTAGGATTTTCTATATAGGCACTCATGTCATCTGCCAGTACAGTTTCATTTCTTTCCAATCTCTATGTCTTTTATTTCTATTTTTTATCTTATTGTGGTAGGTAGAATTTCTAGCACTATGTTCATAAGACTGATGAGAGCTGACATCCTTACCTTATTCCCAGTCTTAGGTAGAAAACATTCAGTCTTTCCTAGAAGAAAGAAAGTGAAGGGTTAGCCAAAGAACATATATGCATAACCCATGAACACAGACAACAGTGTGGTGGTGATGACCCCAGGGAGGGGGGGCGGGGGCTGGGTGGAGGTGGAAAATGGGGACACCTATGATAATGTCAACAATAACAATAAAGCGACTTCTTTAAAAAAATTCACTGGTGAAGAAAATAGACCCAGAAACACAGAAAGGAGTAGGTTCAGACTGACAAACCTCAGAGGAGGGGGCAGGGGGAAGCATGATAAACCAAAGAACTTATATGCATGTATGTGTAACCAATGGACATAGACAACAAAGTTTGGGCGGGGGGGATTGGGAGGAGGGTGTCTGGGGGGGGGGGGAGGAGAAACATCTGTAACAAAAATTAATTAATAAAAAAATATCAATGAGGCTAAAAAAAAAAAATTTAGTCTTTCACCATTAGGTGTTAGGTGTGGGATTGATGTATATGTTGTTTAGCAAGTTAAGTAGTGTCTTTCTATTCTTTATTTGCTGAGACTTTTTATAATGAAGAGTGTTGGATTTTTTCAAATACTTGAACCCTCTCTCCATTGTCTATAACATTACTATCCTACTTCTCTTCCTGAAAAAGACTTTTGATAGATACAGAATTTGTAGTTGTGAGAGTGATATTGTGATATGATAAGAAATACATATTTGGCCTTCATTCCCAGTTCCTGGCACAGAGCTCCTAAAACACATGCAATTTCCTGCATTGTAGGGATAAGAAGAGCATCTTTTGTTATTCATAACAAGCCTTGTTCAACCACACTTGAGTTTATATAAATGAGGTGACCTTTGGAAAGCCCTTAAGGATAAAGGGCTGGTTGATAGGGGACCCAACCCAACTTTCAGTCCTTGCTTCCAACACTAACCTCTGGGGAAGGAGAGGGGCTCGAGGTTTAGTTAATAACCAGTGGCCAGTGTTTTCATCAATCGTGCCTACATAATAAAGCCTCCACAAAAATTTTAACTAAAGGGCTCGGGGAACTTCTCTGTTGGTGAGCACACTGAGATGCTGGGAGGGCAGTGCCAGTGAGGGCATGGAGGCTTCATGCCCTCCCTCTTACTTGGCCCTATGCATCTCTTCCATTTAACTACTCCTGAGTTATATCTTTTATAATAAACCAATCAACCAAAGTAAGTGTTTCCCTTGGTTCTGTGAGCAGTTATAAAAAATTATCAGATGTGAGGAGGAGGTCATGGGAACCTCTGATTTGTAGCCTGTTGATCAGAAGTATAGACGATAACCTGGGACTGGCATCTGAAACAGGGGCGGAGAGTCGTGTGAGACTGGGCCCTTAACCTGTGGGGTCTGTGCTAACCCTACAACTTAAGGAACTAGAAAGTAGCCTGGCCGGTGTGGCTCGGTGGTTGAGCATCGACCCATGCATCAAGAGGTCACTGGTTTGATTCCTGGTAAGGACACTGTAAGGAATCCGGGGCGCCGCCGGAAAAAACAGAGAAGAGACTGGAGAGCCAATCAGCCGAATAAACAGGGATCAGGCTTTATTGGGTACTCCGGGCGGTTCACAGACTCCGGGGGTCAAGTCCTAGAAGCCGCCCCCGATGCTGGGGTTTGTGTTTTTTATATCTGCCCGTTGCAGCTGAGATTTGTCTGTTAGGGTTTGACCTTGTGGGGCTATGCATGGGAGCCTCTGGAATGTGAGTGGATAAGAGCAGGATGGGAGTTAGTCTACAAGCTCGGGGCAGGCCGTTCCCGGAACAGGGTGGGAGGCAAGGCTGAGCAAGCCAGACAATGTCGAGCACTTCGCCTGGCGCCAGTCCCCAGGCTATCGGACAGACACATGCCCAGGTTGTGGGCCAGATCCCCAGTGGGGGGCATGTAGGGGGCAGCCAATCGATGTTCTCTCTCATCTATGTTTCTATATCTCTCTCCCCTTCTCCCTCTCCCTTCCTCTCATTCTAAAATCAATAAAGAAAAAAATATATTTTTTAAAGAACTAGAAAGTAAACAAAACCCAGAGCAAGTAGAAGGAAAGAAATAGTAAAGGTCAGAATGGAAATCAACGACATAGAAACTAAAAAGCAATTCAAAGATCAATGAAACAAAGAGCTGTTTCTTTGAAAAGATAAACAAGATTGATGCTTAGCCAGACTCACCAAGTAACAAAGAGAGAGGACCCAAATAAACGAAATCAGAAACAAAAGAGGAGAAGAAACAACTGAGACCAACAGAAATTGTTTAAAACAAAGGATTGTTTAAAAATACTGCGAACAATTATGTCAAAAATTGGACAGCCTAGGCGAAATGGACACATTTCTAGAATCACACAGTCTCCCAATACTGAACTGGGAAGAGACAGAAAACTTGA